AAATGTGGTTTTTTTTTTTGCAGTGATTTTCCTGTTTCAGTTGTAAGATTGTAGTCACTTTGTTTGATGCTTTTAATGATAATCTCTACCTTGCCCTTGAAAATAAATAATAAATAAATAAAATCATTAATTTGTTGTCTTCTCTGGTGCATATTCCATTTAAATGCTTACTTCAATTATTTACTTGTTTCATGAAAGAAAAATGCTTTTCCTTTCCCTTGGTGATACTTTATAAAAAATGATTTCTTTTTAGGAAGTTCACCTATAATTTGGTATTCTTGTACAAGTGTAAAGATTGAAATTCCATATACTTGGGCATTTTCAGCAGTTAAAACATTATTTTGTATAAAATATACACTTTCACGTATGATGTGTAATTTTTTTATTTTTTTATCTAACATTTTGTTAAGATATACTGCCACGTCACCAATGTATAAAATTATGGGAAAACTACACATAGGTAAAGTTAGGAGTCATAAATAACAAATCAATTAGTTTTAAAAGTTAATTTTCTATTTTGATTGGATTAAACAAAATAATTACAAATACATCAATATTTATTACTCAGATCCAAAATATTCTCACAATCTTATTTCAAAATCCCAAAATATCCTCCTTAAAATTATATAATTTCAATATAATAAAATAAATAATTAAAAATTAGTTTGACTAGCGAATATTAATTCTCTATCACTTACTCTCTTCGTACACATATAAATATAAATATTTTTTTTTTTTGTTATATCTTATGAATTTAGGATTCTTGCATAGGATTATCAATTTGGCATCTCAAAATTTATTGTGATTTTTTATAATTGATTGAAGAAGGAACAACTAGAGACCTCTGGACAAGAAAAAATAAAGGCAAGTGGATATTTCAATACTTCATTACCCTACTGCTAGGATATGAAATCCTTAATAAATCCCGTTTTGACATCTTCTAATATATTAACAATAATAATAGCTTCTTTTAGGTAACAATTGAAAAATCTTCTATGTGATATACCATCACTGCTATAGTAAGCTTGTAGAGCTTCCCTTTTCAATTCTTACCTTTCAGATCAGATGATATCAATTTCGAAGGGTAATCCATGGCGATGGACGACGAAGAGAAGAGATGGAGAATTTTTATTTGCTAGTTAAACTAAATTTTAATTATTTATTTTAATATTTGAAATTAGATAATTTTAAGAAGGATATTTTTGTATTTTGTAATAAGAGTGTGAGGCCATTACGGACCTTAGCAATAATTCTTGATGCATTTGTAATTATTTTGTTTAATTCAATCAATGTGAAAAATTAACTTTTAAAATTGATCAATTTGTTATTTAAAGCTCATCATACTACTTATATGTAGTTTTCCCCAAAATTATTGTGTATTTTACACGGTCAGCATATTTTCTTTCTCCCCATCTTTCTCATTCCATTAACAAATCAACCCTATATTAAGTAGGTTTGTAAAAATCATGTGGCGTCCTGGCATGACACGTGGTTGGTTATTATTGGGGATATATTTTTACACAAAAGATATAAAACAACCGTTGAAGCTAAAAATAAATAATCTAAAATTTAATAATTCAAAATTTTTGTGTAAATGTGTCTTGACACATCGTATTTACAAAAAAAAAAATTATACATAACAGTTAGAGATATATTAAAACACTTTTTTGTATAAAATATACGTCTGATGTGTATTGTTTTAAAATCTCTAGCAGTCTCTTAAGATACATTGCTATGTCACCAATGTGTAAAATTATTGTGTATTTTACACGGTCAGCATATTTTCTTTCTCCCCATCTTTCTCATTCCATTAACAAATCAACCTTATATTAAGTAGGTTTATAAAAATCATGTGGCGTCCTGGCATGACACGTGGTTGGTTATTATTGGGTATATATTTTTACACAAAAGATATAAAACAACCGCTGAAGCTAAAAATAAATAATCTAAAATTTAATAATTCAAAATCTTTGTGTAAATGTGTCTTGACACATCATATTTACAAAAAAAAATTATACATAACAGTTAGAGATATATTAAAACACTTTTATGTACAAAATATACGTCTGATGTGTATTTTTTTAAAATCTCTAGCAGTCTCTTAAGATACATTGTCATGTCACCAATGTGTAAAATTATTGTGTATTTTACACAGCCACATCACCATATTTCTTTTCTCCTCCCTCTTTCTCACTCCATTAACAAATCAATCATACCATTAACAAATCAACCATATATTAAATAGGTTTATAAAAATTATATAGGATCCAAGCATGACACTGATTGATTGTTATTGGGGAATATATTTTTACACAAAAGGTATAAAATAACCGCTAGAGCTAAAAAATAAATAATCTAAAATTTTTGTTTAAATCTATTATGACACATCAAATTTACACAAAAATATGTATATACATAACGGTTGGAGACGCTCTAAGATACACAGCCACATTACATGTTTGTAAAATTATTATGTATTTTATACAAACTTTTTACACAACCACATCAGCATACTTGCTTCGATTTGAATTATCCGGAGGATGCCTTGTATATATAAAAAATATAGACAATCAAACCTATTTCTCAATTCAATAGAAGCCCAAAGAGGTAAATAGGGTCCTAATGAGAGATATGTAAAAGCAGGTCTGATTACTACGCCTATTCCTAATCCTAAATGGAATGGAACGACGTAGGGATCCATATGAAAACATAGTATCTATTTCGATACGCTCGAGTGACCCTTTCTCATAATGAGAATGTTACACTACCACATTACATGTGTGTAAAATTATTATGTATTTTATACAATCTTTTTACACCGCCACATCAGCATACTTCCTTTCTCCTCGCTTTTTCTGATTCCATTAACGAATCAATCCTATATTAACTAGGTTTGTAAAAATTATATGGAGTCTTGGCATGACATGGATTGGTTATTATTGAGGGATATATTTTTATACAAAAGATTTAAAACAATCGCTGGATCTAAAAAGAAATAATCTAAATTTTTTAGATTTACACAAATATATATATATATATATATATATATATATATATATATATATATAATGGTTGGAGATTCTCTAACACATTCATGACATATACAATAGAGTGATTATTTTTAAAAACTATACAAGATAATTCTTTCTAAAAACAGTTTTAAAAAATTATCACAACCTTTTTATTATTATTATTATTTTTCGGGATAAAATGCAAAAAACTTTCATGAACTATTGGCATATTGCAACCAACCCTCCTGAATTACAAAAAAAACCCTGAATTGTTGATTTGTTGCATTCCAGTCCATTCCAGCAAGTAACTTGGTCGGAAAGCTTAAAAGACAAATTTACCCTCAGTTAAAACTAAGTAGTTTTAAGAGTTAGACACTTAACTTGGTTATGTGGCAGTTACCAAAATCAGGAACCAATCAAAATGAGACACAAAGCTAACCAAAAAATATAATAATAATAAAGGAAAATTTTAAAATCTCACTATTTGTATATTTTGAAAAATATTAAATTTTATAAAGTGTTAACTTTGACTACTAATTTTTTTGAAAGTAATTGCAAATTTATACTAAAACATTATAATCGCCTAAAGTTTATCATTAAAAAATATTCTTATACTTTTAAGCGAATGCTTTAAATATATATATTCTTATACTTTTAATCTATATATATAGAGAGAGAGAGATTGAGGAGAGAGAGACAATGGCCTTGTGCCAAAAAAACAGGAGCAATAGATTGCAGCCATAATTCATATTGCATGTCATCAGTCAATTGTGAAGCTTATCATATTGAAGTGCCCCGTAGGATTGCTAAAATTTGACTAAATTTTCATGGAGAGACTACATGTCGAGTTTTTAACATTAAATATGCATATAAGGTTCAAAATCATACTAAACACGACACATAGAAAACCTATGAATGGAATGCGCATAGTAATGAGAAGTGTGCTTTTGAAAGAAAAATAAATAAATGAAAAAGGGACGAGTTTGATCTTGAACTCATGATCCATATTCGATATACAGTGCAATCAGAGCGAGAAATACAAACACGACACATAGCTTTGTTCTCTCATTACCAAAATTGGGTTTCGACTCACTCTCTGAGAGAGAGTGAGTGAGCGAGAGAGAGACAAACCAGTCGAAGATGAAGAGAATATACTTCCCAAAAGGTACTCGTCTTCCTACTACTACTATTATCCTCTCTACCCTAACCCATTATCAGATGTTCATAATATACTTTCTTTCCACTCTCATTCTGCTACTTCAATTCGCAAATCGCTGTCTGAGAAGCCAAGAATTGGGTTTTCAAAGACTTATAATGTTAATCATAATAAGCTCGAAGATGCACTAAATTCATTCAATCTGCTGGTCCAAACGTGACCTCTGCCTTCTGTTATTGAATTTACTCAGCTGCTAGGGTTTATTACCAGAATGAAACATTAGTCAACTGTTGTTTCTCTCTATAAAGAAATGTGTGTGTTGGGTATCCCTATTAATGATTACAGCATGAACATCGTAATCAACTGTTATTGCCACCTAAATCGAGAGGACTTTGGGTTTGCTACTTTAGGCGACCTATTCAAACGTGGTCATGTACCAAATGTGACTACATTCACCACCCTGATAAAAGGGATTTTCTTAAAAGATAAATTTGCCGAGGCAATGGAGTTGTTCAACAAGCTGTTGAGGGAGAATGAGATTGAGCCTAATGAAGTTATGTATGGAACAATGATAAATGGTCTTTGCAAAAGGGGGAATACTAGCATGGCCATTGGGCTACTTAGGGCTATGGAGAAAACAAGGATTTCTAGTGCTAACTTAGTAATCTATAGTGTCATAGTCGATAGTCTTTGCAAGGACAAAATGGTAGATGATGCTTTGGTCCTTTTCTCTGAAATGATTGAGAAAGGCATTTTACCCAATGTTATCACATAGAGTTCTTTGATTCACGGACTCTGCAATTTTGGTAGATGGAAAGACACTTTTGACATTGATGGTGGATCAGAAAATTTTTCCAAATGTACGTGCCTTCAATATTTTGGTAGATGCACTTTGCAAAAAAGGGATGGTAAAAGATGCAGAGAGTATATTTGAAATCATGATGCAAAGAGGAGAGGATCCTAATGTAGTCACTTACAATGTTCTGATCATTGGATATTGTTTGCAAGGCCAGATGGATGAAGCAATGAAAGCATTCAATTCCATGGAGGGCAGGGGAATTGAGCCTAATGTAGTCAGTTGCAATGCTTTGATTCACGGATATTGTTTGCAAGGCCAGATGGATGAAGTAATGAAAGCATTCAATTCCGTGGTGGATAGGGGAATTGTGCCTGTAGGTGCAGAATTTCGCTCAACCAATAATGATTGAGAAAAATAAAACAACTCACTCAACAAATAATGAAAATAAACAAGAACAGTATATAGAGAAGCGTAGAATTGGTTGATGGGTTTATTGGAGGTCTTAGCCTCTATTTATATACAAAAGATTGCAAAATTATGGTAGGACTCGCGTTGCTTGCCCTCCAATTCTTTCCATATAAACATTCTTTTCTAATAGAGTTCTTTCCATTGTCGAATTTTCCATACATAGAACTTGCCTTGTACAGAACTTCCTATCTCAGAGTTTTCCTTCTACAGTAAATCCTTCAACTGGTAGGACTTGTGCATTCTTGAATAACTAGGCTGAACATATTTTGATCCGGCTGGGCTTGAGTAACAGGCCGGATGTTAAATATTAATAAGCTGGGCTGATGACTTCTTGATTCGGCCTTGATGGAGGTTGGAGGACAAATAACAATGGTCTTGGGCTGTAAATACCCTCAATTTGGGCTTGAGCATGATGGGCCTTATATGTCCTTGGAATGTAGATATGGGTAGTGGTGACGTGTGCGCTTTTTATTGGAGGGAGTTTTTTTTCCCTCCACACTTTGCCCCAAATTTCATCTTTAATTGAGCGACGGCTCCTATTAAAGAGGGAATTGAAACCGGTTTTTTACTTTGCTTCAGAAACGGTTCGAGGTCTTTCATTATTACTCCGTCATACAAGATTTTGCAAGAGTTACATTTGCCCTTGCTGCACTTCTGCGTTCTTCATTCCATCACTTTGTCAGGCTAGTCTCGCATCTTTCTCTTCAATCTTTCATTATGAGTACTTCATCTACTCCCGAACGTATAGACCTTGGGGATTCTGAATCCACACCTTCATCTTCCCCCGTTCGCATTAGGGCTCCCCCTCCTAGGGTTTCTACAGATCGCCCTTTGTTGAATCCATCAGGTACTTCCCCTCTTCCAACCGAGACATCCACCTCAGGCTCTGATTATGTTCTTACTCATGAAGAGAAGAAAGCAATCATCTCTATTCGCCGCATCAAGTTCTCTATTGCTTCGGTAATGGAAGAATTTGATATTCCTGAGGGAGTAGAAATTACAGAATATCCCGAGGGTGCCGATTTTACCTCCGGCGAGGGAATTGAGGAGGATGAGTTGCTTCTTTTGGTAGGGCATCTTAACGCCCTCCGATTCCCTCTTCATCCCTTCTATCATTTAGTTTTCAATAAGCTGGGTTTTGCCCCCCTTCAGGTAAATCCTAATTTCTTTTGCATCCTTTCGGCACTGTTGGTGCGCCGGAAATTAGAGGCTCTGGATTTGACCCTTGCCGACCTTCTGCTTACTTACAATATATCTAAGCATGGGACCGAGCCTGGTCGCTTCTTTTTTACCTCTCCCCTTCATCAGAGGATATGCATGAACCTTCCTTCATCCGAAAAGAAGTGGAAAGAAAGGATGGTTATAGTTAAAGGAAAATGATTCGTGCCCCAATCAATTACGCTCCCCATCCTGCGCAAGTTCAGGAAATTAGGTATAGAATACTTAACCTCCCTCCATACCAAGTGTTCTGACTGTTTTCCTTGCCAAATCTTAATGTTTCGCCGTACTTATGAGTTTCTTGGTGTTTTTTCAGCTACATTCCCATCCTCCGCAGCAAGGAACAGACTTTATTTTCTTGAGGAACGAGTCTGGAGTGACCCCTCGCCTATCGAGGACCTGCTAACTTCTTCAAACCTCAAGGATATTGCCTCCAGTGCTGTTGCTGCAGACCTCATGGATCTGTCTCTACCATCCTTTGACAGTTTCCCCATGACTGAGGAGGAGATACAGAGGGCTGAGGCTTTAAAAAAGAAAGCCGAAGATGCCCAACCCTTGGCTGTTATTAGATCAACTGAGGATGAGATGGAGGTTGAGGAACCACCAATGAAGAAATCTTGCCTCAACCCCTCATCCTCTGGCAAGGGCAAAGTCCCTTCTAAGAGCAGAGGGAAAAAGGCTGGAGAGGCCGAACCTGAAGATGAAGTCAGGGCCTTTGTTCTGGCTGAGACTGGGGCTCCTTGGACTCCTTCCTTCACCAGGGCTGACAGGTCAGTCCTGCACTCAGGGGATTCTGTGATTACAGACCCTTCGGCTGCACTGGCGGTGGCTCGAGGAATGTGGCTCCCAAAGGACGAGGAAGCCATCAGCCAAATGGGGTTGAAACAACTACTCCCCTCTGCCCCGGTCCGGGCCATAGAGGTTCGCATTGCTCCTTCAGAATTATGTTACTCTTGCTTGCTTATGTTTCTACTTATGCTTATATTTGCTCCCCTGTTAAACAAAGTCTATACCACACCATGGCCCTCTGCGCCACTGCTGAAGCTCAATCCCTCTCCATCAAGAAGTTGGAAAAGGATCTTGACAATGCAAAGAAGAGAGCCACTATTGCCTCTACCAATCTGAAGATAGCTTCTGAAGCCAAGGATGCGTATAAGAGGCAGTTGTCAGCCTCTGAGGCTAAGGTGGATTCTCTTCAGGCCGAAGTTCAACGCCTGACCGAGGCTCTTACTACTTGCTTCAAGGCGGGGAAGCAAATGCAGGGGCGCTACTCCTGTCTGGCGCACCTGGCTAGTGCTAAAGCGTTCCGGTCTGACTATAATCAAGGCTCAGGCCCTAAGACGATGGATCCGGAAGCTTTTGACAAGCAGGTGGGAGTGCACTTCCCATACGATGAAGGGCCAGAGGCTTTGGAAGCTGAAATCCGCTTTGCCGAGATGGTGAAGGCGCACCTGAAGGGTACTCCTAGCTCTTCTGCTCCTGTGGCTTCAATTCCTCCTACCCCAAGTCCTACTGTAGTGGATGCTTTCGAATCTACTCCCTTCGATCCGAAGAGGAAGTAGAGTTATGTAATTTGTTTTTATGGACAGCCTGTTTGGGATAATGAATATAATTTTCTGTTTTAGGCTTACCTGACTTGTTTTTGCTGTATGCTTTTGATACTGTTCATATTTCTCTGACTGGTAATGTGTTTAAACAATAAACATTATCTTTATGCTTCGGATTTACGCTATCCGCGAAAAAGCAAGGATGGTGGGAAGAGGAGATCCTTTTAACAGTTTAGTTGATATCTCAGGATGATTCATATGGACAATGATTTAACTGTTAAATGAACCCTCCTTGCCTTTTACTTGCCTGCAGTAGACGTATACATACTCTTTCCTTTCTCATGTGTTCCTGATGTGGGGTGGATCATGATGAACTTATGATATATCCACATCCATAGGGTATTAAACACTTGGAGTCCGAAGGAAAGAGTTCTGATCCGGGCACCAGAGGTCTGAAGCGAATTATTCCTCGGCACTGAGTGTGGAGGAATATTGCTGAATAGGACACTTAGGGTCCAAATCTGTCTCGGACACTTAGGATTCGAGGCGAATTGTCCCTCGGCACTGAGTCGTGGAGGACTAGTGCTGAATAGGGCACTTAGGGTCCGAAGCTGTCTTGGGCATAATCCAAGGCGAATTATACACTCCCTGGCGTGGAGCCGGAGGGGAGGTTTTGCCGAGCCGGACACTTAGGGTCCGAGGCGAGATTTTTGCCGAGCCAAACACTTAGGGTCCGAGGCGAGATTTTTGCTGAGCCAGACACCTAGGGTCTGAGGCGAGATTTTTGCCGAGCCAGACACCTAGGGTCTGAGGCGAATGACCTACTCCCCGGCGCTGAGCCTGAGGGGAGGTTTTGCCGAGCCGGACACTCAAGGTCCGAGGCGAATGAACTACTCCCTTGCGCTGAGCCTGAGGGGAGGTTAAATGAATTACTCCCCGGCGCTGAGCTTGAGGGGAGGTTTTGCCGAACCGGACACTCAAGGTCCGAGGCGAATGAACTACTCCCCGGCGCTGAGCCTGAGGGGAAGTTTGTTTTATATTTTTCCTCAAACCACTTATCATGAGGCCGAGGATTCAAAAATGATAAGAGGCCAAGAAAGCGAGTAACAGTGGCTATGAAGTTTTCCATTTGTTGACTTTGGAGACCTGCCTCCTCCACTGATACTCCCTTCTTGGCAACCAAATGTTGTGGACCACGCATATATGAACCGCATTTCTTTTCTATTTCTATCCGATGTGGGACATAAACTAAATTTTGTCAAAAAGGTCGATGTAAGGAATGCCTCTGGTATTGAGCTTGACAGCCTTAAATACCAGTGGGTCCTCCTTACACCGTGATTAACTATTTGAATATTTCCATATATAATAGAGTGTAGCACATACTTTTTTGTCGATGTGGGATAGAAAGTTTTAAGCACAGGCCATAACTCATGTTTTGTTGTTGCTTCTTTTTTTTTTTTTTTTTTTTTTTTTTGAAAAAATCATCGTGACGAATGCCACGCATGCATAAAAATCGCATAATCATAGAGTAGTATGGCCCCCCATTTTTATAAAAAGAAACAAAAACAGAGGAAAGTTGTACTGAATATAGAAGCAAAAAGTTTGGCTGACTGTGGATATACGCAGCTTTATTTGTGAAGAAGTTGTAGCAAAATTGACAAACTTAACTAATGGAAATACCTTTTCAGGTGTATTGCGTTCCAAGGACGCGCAATGGGACGTCCACCAACTTCGGCCAAACGATATGCTCCTTTCCCCACTACTTCGGTAACCCTGTAGGGTCCGGTCCAATTAGGTTCCAGTTTCTTTACATGAGCTGTCTCCTGCTTCAAAACCCAATCGCCTACCACAAAGCTCCTGAATCTGACACGTTCGTTATAACTATTACACACCTGCTGTTGGTATGCCGTGAGACGAATTGCTGCTGCATCTCTCCTTTCGTCCACAAGATCAAGGCTATGTTCGAGTTGTTGCTCATTGTTCCCCTCCAGTACCAAGGATGTCCGAAGGGTTGGGATTATGGACTCGGTAAGAATGACAGCTTTGGATCCATATGCCATAGCAAATGGGCTTTCTCCCGTGGGTCGTCTTGGAGTGGTTCGATAGGCCCAGAGCACTTGAGGGAGATTCTCGTACCACTTTGTCTTCAATTTCTCCAATTTTTTCTTTAAGCACCCGAATATCGTGCGATTAGTTCTTTCAGCTTGCCCATTGCCTTGTGGATGACTAATTGCAGCCAATTTTTGCAGGATTCCATGTTCGCTAAAGAACTTCCTTGTACTTCTGTTATTGAGGTTCTTACCATTGTCCATTACGATGACTTTTGATACCCCAAACCGGCAAATAATGTTGCTCCAAATGAAATGCTTTACTTCTTCGTGGGTGACGCTAGAGAAGGCTTCAGCTTCCACCCACTTGGTGAAGTAATCCGTAGCCAGAAGCACATGCTCCTTTTTTTCCATGGTTTTGGGTAATGGTCCTACTATATCAATCCCCCATTGGGCGAACGGCCATGGATTAGCCATGGCGTGCAAACCTTCGGCAGGTTGGTGCTTTATTGGACCATGGCGCTGACACTTGTCACATCTTCTTGAGTATTCCTCGGCATTCCGAGCCAAGTATGGCCAAAAATAACCTTGGGTTAGAATTTTGTGTGCAAGGGATCTTCCTCCGGAGTGGTTTCCACAATCTCCTTCATGAACTTGTTTTAGAATTGTGAGAGCCTCAGTAGGGGTTAAACACTTGAGATAGGGACCGGAGAATGACCTTCGGTACAACTGGTTATTGATGATTGCGTACTTAGCCGCGGTAAGCCTAAGCTTCCTTGCCTCAGCTTTCTGATTCGGGAGAACTCCTTCCTTGAGGTAGGCCTCGATTGGATCAATCCAGCAGGGCTCGCGTGGTACTTCCGGGATCACCATCACCTCTTGCCGGGGATTAATGCTAGGTTCTTCGAGAACATCGATTAGAACAAGCCGAATCAACTCTTCATCTGAAGATGATGCGGCTGCGGCCAATCGATCTGCTTCGGCATTTTCATCTCGTGGTACCTAATGGAACTCGATTTGATCGAACTCCCGGATAGCACTCTCTACAGCATCTTTGTATGACTTCATACGTTCCTCCTTGGGAGAATATTGCCCTGTCACTTGATTGATCACAAGCTGTGAGTCACTAAAAACTTTTAAACACCGTACATGTAGCTGTTTAGCTAGCCGAAGTCCGGCGAGCAACGCCTCATACTCGGCCTCGTTATTAGTAGATGGGAAATCTAGCAAAATTGACTGTTGCAGCTTGGTACCCTCGGGTGTTGTGATGTCAATCCCGGCCCCTGCCCTTTTCCGGTTGGAAGAGCCATCAACCCGTAACTCCCAGTATAGCTCTTGAAGTGTCGGTTCCTCAGGTTGATCTTCGTACTCTAGTAGGAAATCCGCTACTGACTGCCCCTTGTGAGATACCTTCGGTGCATAGGTGATGTCAAAAGAGCTAAGTTCAATAGCCCATTTTGTAATTCGACCAGACAGGTCTGGTTTAGCTAGGATAGCTTGTATAGGGTGATTTGTAAGTACCACTATGTTGTGAGACTCGAAGTAATGTCGAAGTTTCCTCTTGGCATAAATTAACGCCAGGATTACCTTTTCGGTCTTGCTGTACCGTGTCTCAGCATCCGTCATCGTTTTGCTTATGTAAAAGATTGGGTGCTGAAACTTGCCTCCTTCTTTGATCAACACTGCACTCGTTGCTACAGCTGATACTACTAAGTACAGGATGAGAGTGTCTCCGGGCGTTGGAGCAGAAAGGATCGGGGGTTTCGTCATGTAGCTTTTCAATTGATTGAGAGCTTCCTGCTGCTGAGGTCCCCACATATCTTTGCTTTTGGATCGAATAGCATCAAAGAAAGGTTTATACTTATCAGATAATCGGGATATGAGCCGGCTGAGAGCCGCAATTCAGCCGGTTAGAACTTGCACTTCCCTGCGGGTTTTTGGCTCCTGGTTCTGTATGAGTGCCTTTGCCTGAGCTGGGCTTACTTCTATTCCTCTTTTATTTACGACGTGCCCGAGGAACTGTCCTGATGAGACGGCGAAGGAGCACTTGGTGGGGTTCAGCTTCATACTATACCTTTTGAGAGTATCAAAGACCTCCTGGAGGTGCTTCGGGTGGTCCTCTTTCCGTATACTCTTGACCACCATATCATCGATATAGGCTTCAACTGTGTTCCCCAGCAGATTATTGAAAATTTTATTGACAAGTCGCTGGTAGGTGGCTCCGGCATTCTTTAGGCCGAAGGGCATCACTCTGTAGCAGTAAGTGCCCGTCTCTATAATGAAAGCGGTTTTCTCCTCATCTTCAGGATTCATGGGAATCTGATTGTAGCCGGAGTATACATCGAGGAATGTGAGCCTCTCATAACCCGTCGTAGCATCCACCATTTGATTAATTTTGGGCAGAGGGAAGCTATCTTTTGGGCAAGCTTTGTTAAGGTTGGTATAATTTACGCATACTCTCCATTTCCCATTCTTCTTTTGAACGACTACTACATTTGAGAGCCACTGTGGGTACTGCACCTCTCGAATGAATCCTGCTTGTAATAGTTTATTTACTTCCTCGGCTATTATGCGATTCCGTTCAGTTGCGAACCGTCGGTGCCTCTGCTTGACCGGCCTGAATTCTGGGTTAACCCTCAAACTATGGCATGAGACCATAGGATCGATCCCCACCATGTCCGAGTGATCCCAGGCAAAGACATCTGAATTGCACCGAATGACCCTGATCACTGTTTCCTTCTCTTCGGCTGTGCAAGATGAGCCAATGTAGGTGACCTTCTGAGGGTCTCCGAGGACTACCTCTATAGCTTCGAGGGACTCCTCGGTAGGTGCTTCAGCCTTGGCTTCTTCCTCTGCCTTGAGATACTTGGGCAGAGGATATTGTAACTGCTATTTGATTACGCCTTTGGGATTCGCCTCTAACTGAGGTGATTTCGACGCCTTTTTTGCTTCATGTAGCGTCATGTAACATTCTTTTGCAGCCACCTGGTCTCCCCAGAGGTCGATGACTTCCCTGCCATCTGGGGATAAACACCTCATTACTTGATGAAGGGTAGAGGGGACTCCGTTCATACGATGGATCCAACCTCTCCCTATAATGAGGTTATAAGATGGATGAATCTCCGTCACGACAAAGTTCTCCTTCAGAGTCCTCTTTGCTGCAGTAACGGATAGATCGATCACCCCAAGCGGATTCACCTTAGTACCATCAAATCCCATTAGGGGGCTGGAAGTTGGCCTGATGGATGATGGTGAAACCCCCAACTGATCAAAAGCTATTTTTGTAATGATGTTGGCGCTACTTCCCGGATCTATCAGCACTCTCCTGATCATATAATTCGCTACCAGGAGGCTGATGACCAAGGGGTCCTCATGCGGGCGCTGGACTCTAGAAAGATCATTGTTACCGAATCCAATGTTGATGCTGCCTGGTGCAACCGTGTTTACCGAAGACAATCTTCGTAACTTATGAGCCTCTCTCAGCCTGGATATGTACAACTCTTCAGACTCTTCATCATCCTCTGACCTTCCGTGTATAGCATGGATAACCTTTACCTGACCGCCCTCTACCCGTCGAGGGTTAACCTCCCGAGGCTTTACGTGCTCCTTCGTGGCGAGATACTCCACCAACTCTCCTCTCGCTATCATGCTTTCTACCTGTCGCTGTAGGGACCTGCAGTCATTGGTGGTATGCCCATAGTCTTTATGGTAGGCACAATGTTTGCTTTTGTCCCTCTGCTCCAAGGGTTGTTTCATGGGCTGAGGAGTTGCGAACCTCGTCTTATTCTCTTAGAATAGGCGCGCCAAGGTAGTACGGAGAGGGGTAAGCCTGTCCTCTGTCCTTCGCCTCTTCTCAGACGCTTGGGTGACTTGTGTGGCGGTATGAGGAACCTTCTGCATCCTTGTGCTCGCAGCTTTCTCTCGAGACTTGTTTTCCACTGATGGGCTACGTTTTCCTCCAATCGAATGTAGATTTGTGCCCTAGCGTTCAAAGTCTGCATATCCGAGGGGGAATATTTGACCAAGGATGTGTGAAACTTTGTTCTCTGGATCATTGCCAACTTAAATGTTTCGATTGCCGTGGCAGGGTGGCAATCTGCTATCTCCGAGGCCTCCATGTTAAACCTGGATAAAAAATCTTGTAGAGTTTCTCCCTTCCTTTGCCTTATGGTGAAAAGGCTGGCAATACTTTTCTTCTGCTTTTTATTTCCGCAATACTGGGCTAAGAACATAGTGCACAAGGTCTCATAATCAGGGATAGACTTGTGTGGCCTATTCCTGAACCATTCTAACGCTGCTCCGGTTAAACTGGTAGGAAAAACCTTACACATCCACGGATAGTTATGATCGTCTAGTGCCATCTTTTGCGCATAATGATCGAGATACCGAGAGGGGTCTCCTGCCCCATCGAACTGGGTGAAAGATGGCATAGTGAACTTCTTTGGTCTCTCCACAAGGTACACCTCGTCAGTAAAGGGGGTCTTGATCAAGGAGTTTTTGTGCTCTCTAGCCATCTCGGCTGGTGTCTGAACTCGTAAGAGCTTCTTTTCGTCGAAGGCATCTTGTACGCGTGTGCCATCTAGAACGCCATTGGACCATACCGTAAGCCTATGGCTGGACTCAGCCTGTTCGTCCTGTGTGCAACGCGGGAGATTATCCGAAGCAACCGCCTCGGACCTCGTCCCTTGCTTTTGCTGAACCTCATTAGGTCGAGCCCCATTGGGTGGTGTCTCGCTGGCTGGAGGCTCGTGAACCGGAGGTAAATTTCAGGTGGGGGGTAGTGCTGCAGCATCGCCTGGTGGTGGTTATGGCGTTAGCCTGGCCATGGCCGTGTGCAGCGTATGAGTCTGCTGCTGAAGCGCAGCTATCTAGGCGACACTCATATCGTTTGCTTGCCGGAGTGTCTCAAATTGGTGCAAGAACTCTTCTCGCATCTTTTGCATCAATTCTATCTGTTGATTCATTGCTGACTCTCCGTTTGACATTCCAGACACGACTAAGGATTTGATTTGAAGAACAAGTGAGAGTATATTTTTATACGTTCCCCACAGACGGCGCCAAAGTGTAGGTGTAGAATTTCGCTCACCCAATAATGATTGAGAAAAATAAAACAACTCACTCAACAAATAATGAAAATAAACAAGAACAGTATATAGAGAAGCGTAGAATTGGTTGATGGCTTTATTGGAGGTCTTAGCCTCTATTTATATACAAAAGATTGCAAAATTATGGTAGGACTCGCGTTACTTGCCCTCCAATTCTTTCCATATAAACATTCTTTTCTAATAGAGTTCTTTCCATTGTCGAATTTTCCATACATAGAACTTGCCTTGTACAGAACTTCCTATCTCAGAGTTTTCCTTCTACAGTAAATCCTTCAACTGGTAGGACTTGTGCATTCTTGAATAACTGGGCTGAACATATTTTGATCCGGTTGGGCTTGAGTAACAGGCCGGATGTTAAATATTAATAAGCTGGGCTGATGACTTCTTGATTCGGCCTTGATGGAGGTTGGAGGACAAATAACAATGGTCTTGGACTGTAAATACCCTCAATTTGGGCTTGAGCATGATGGGCCTTATATGTCCTTGGAATGTAGATATGGGTAGTGGTGACGTGTGCGCTTTTTATTGGAGGGAGTTTTTTTTCCCTCCACAGTGCCTATCAATATTACATATAACATCCTGATCAATGGATATTGCATGCAAATGAAGATTGATGAGGCCATGCATCTCTTGGTAGATAAAGGATTGAAACCCACAATTGACACTTATACAACTATGCTGCAAGGGTTGTTCCGAAATGGTAATGTGCTGCAGCGAGAAAGCTTCTAAGTGAGATGCAAGATAAAGGTCAAATTCCAAGTACTCACACTTACTATGTCCTATTGGATGGCCTGTGCAAAAACGGGCACATTTCTGAAGCGTTGTCAATATTTCACACGATGGAAATAAATGGATTAAATTCTCAAATTCATATTTACAACATCCTCATTGATGTACTTTGCAATAATGGAAAATTTGATGTTGCTTGGGGTCTTTATGATGACCTTTTTCTTAAAAAGCTACAACCTGATGTTTGGACGTATACTATACTAATAAAGGGACTTTGTCTAGAAAGACTACTGGAGAAAGCTGAGGAGCTTCTCAGGAAAAGGGAAGAGACTGGTTGTTTGCCTAATAGTGTCACTTATTGTGAGATATATATTTTGTAATTGACTAATTTTATTGTCAAAATAAGACCGATCGAGTTGTAATTTTCCTATTTAAAAAATTCGAAGATTGAAGATCGGATGCGGATTTGAAGAAGTTCAAGTGTTCATGATATATTACACTCTGAGATAATGAGAACAACGCTCTAAAATGTTTGAGAGGTAGCAAGAACATTTAGGAAGGGTTTTGAAAGGCTTTAAACAAGATTTTACATTTTGTCCATCTTGAACTGGTTCAAGATTTATCGAATAGGTTCAACATCAGAAGAATTGTCTAAATTTCAAGACTGCCCATCTTGAACCGGTTCAAGGGGGCTGAACCGGTTCAAGAATCCGAGGGATTCTTTACTGGTCATCTTGAACCAGTTCAGCCCCTCTGAACGGGTTCAAGAAGTCCTGGTACTATTCCAATTTCAGTTTCCTTCTTTTAAATGTTTCCTTTTTGATCCCAACTTCTTTCCAAGTCCTATGTACGAAAAATTTCATATTTTTAGAGGGATTAGGACTTTATAAACTCTATATAAACCTTGTCATACACAGAGGTTTATTCATGACTTTAGAAAAAATCAATTCTATATTTTGATAAAGCCTTTTAGATAGAGAAAATTCAGAAAATCAAATATGATTATTCTGAATTTATTTATGAGAGCATACACATATATTCATGAGTGATTTAGTGGTGTTGTTCTCTATCTCATCGGAATTGAAGCTATATTGAAGATTCAGATATTCCGTATGAAGAGCATGATTTAATTCTTCTACGTCGAGTTCAGATCTTGAAGAACAGAGGTAAAAACGATCACACTTTGAAAGGGTTGGAGCATTCGAGGAGTGTTGTCTGATCTACCTACTACTCTTCTACAAATATGAAGTATAAGCCTGAGGTCAAGTTGCTGTTGAACGGGGAGTCGCAAAGCCAGATGATTGTCAGCAATTGGTGTTTGGTAGAACGATAGAGTATGAGCCAGAGTCAAAGTTCGGTGTACTTTGTTTCAAATATAGTGGATCAGTTTACTTTGAACTGAACAGTCTACAAGGTTTTTCTTATGCAAACAGTTGACATATTTTATCAACTGGAGTTTCCTCGCTAAAAATCCTGGTGCAATCTCTCTAAACTTAACTTGCTTACTTTAAAGTATTTATATCTATGATTTTTGAATGTTTAATTGATCATACAATTTAATCAATCATAAATTGAGCAAGTTAACCTAATAATCAAATCTAGATCATTAAATGAGTTAATCACAATTGAAATCAACTAACAGTTTCCGCACTCGCACAACTCTATTTTCACACTTACAACACTATAGTCCAAGGATATATTAGGAGGAAAAAGTGTGACAAGGCAGTGCCACTTTTAGAGCAAATGACCAAGAAGGTTTTTCACCGGATGCGTCTACTTTTTCTATGTTACTACATCCACGATACACTACAGGTCAAGACCCTGCACTCCTCAATATGATTCAGAAGTTCGCGCCAAGGGAAAGCATCAATGTTCAAGCTCAAGTACAATGTGGATTTCTACACTCTCGGAGTGGATGTTGCTGCTCGTGGTTATTTGTTAGGATCATTAGATCTATTCCATAATCCATTTGTGGAAACTTGATTATTAAAAAAGTATTTTCAGACATCATTATTGTGTAGAATGTGATCACAATTGTAAAGGACTGAATTGCCAAATTAATTGTGCTTAAATAATACCTAACATTTAATTTCACGCCATTTCACTTTTAAAGGTTTAGTTGCTGGGAAGACGAAGGGAAATTCAGCTACCATGTAAAGTGTTGTGGAATTTAAAATCATTGCAGGGATGAATGGTAAGTTCCTTATTTTCTCTCAATGTAATTCCATTTTAAAACTCCCTCATAGTATATACTGCATTCATAGGAGAGTAAGGCACTGCTTTTCCTTGGTTAAAGTGATATCATGACCATATTCTCTCTCTATCTCTTGGTATTTTTAAACATTTTGATACTTGGCAATTTCAATTTGTCATGTTATGCTTATAAAATTGTAGATAACAATATTCATTCTTCCATGAAGAATCTGGTTTGAAGATAGTGAGTCTGATGACGGTAACTTTTATATATTGGCATACTTGTTGAAACTGGAAACTGAAAATGGTAAGATTGTAATTGTATATATCAAATAATATATATACACACACATACATGTCTCCTCAATCCATATATATGTGTATATGGATTGAGGAGAGAGAGAGAGAGAGAGTGTGGCCTTGTGCCAAAAAAGGAGCAATCGATTGCAACCATAATTCATAATGCATGTCGTCAGTCAATTGTGAAGCTTATCATATTGAAGTGCCCATAGGATTGCTAAAATTTGACTAAATTAATTTTCTTGGAGAAATCACATGTCACTGAGGAGCTCGAGTTTTTAACCGATGATAAACGAATGTGCATTTAAAATCCAATGGTGGAATGGTAAACTCACAATGATATACGCCAGTAAAAATTATTTCGAAGGTAGAATGAGTATAGTCGATGAGTAAATAATAATAATAATAATAATAATAATAATAAGTATTTTGGCAACAAAATGTTAATGTAGTAGAGAATCTTTACTAGAAGTTAGAAGAAAGAAATGGGTGCTTTTGAAAGTTGAGTCGCAAGTAAGGGTCAAAATCATACTAAAATGAAAAAGAATCTGAATTGAAATAGGAATTATAATTAAAAGGAAATTCTATTTATATGTTTGAAATAAATTGGATTTAAAATGGGATTTTGAATAAAAATAATATAATATTATTTTTGTCCTTGTTTAAATAATAAATGAAATGTTTATTTTATTGTAAAATATACTCCAAAATTACATCAAAAAGACAAATAAGGAGAATGATTACGCGATGGAACTCTTGAAACATGAATTTTTTTTTTTTTTCAAAAAAGAACAATTATTAAAGATAATATTGGCGCATATATATATGTGTGAATTTTGAAGAATTGAAAAATATAACTTTTGGTTATAAAATTATGCTCGTTTAAATTTTTAAGTAACTAAAGTATTGAATTCCGTATTGTAGATTTTTCAAATACAAGAATACTGGTAGATCAATATGTTAAACGTAGTTTTAGATATTGGAGTATACCAAACAAAAAAAAATTGGTGTGAATTATGGAAGATTAGAGCAATTCTGTATCTTTGTATTTTTAAATACAAGAATACAAAAGTGGTGATACATCAATCTATTAAACGCAGTTTAAGATATTGGAGTATACCAAACAAAAAAAATTTAGGGAGGATTGGAGTATGACTTTTGGTTATAAAATTCTTTATTGTAAATTTTTAAGTATAAGAATACAAATCAATCTGACACAAACTTTTGGTAATAAAGTTCCGTAACTTTGAGAATCAATCTGTTAAACGCAATTTAAGATATTGAAATATACCCAAAAAAAAAAAAAAATTGGAATGCTCAAGGAAAATATATATATACATTAAAACAATGGTATTGTTATACAGAGAATGATGAACTAGTAGCATCGAGTTAGTTAAATAAGAGAAGAGGAAGAAAAACGTTAGGGATTGAGATATGATAGTAGATATTTAATAGGATAGGGTTTAACGAGAAAAATTGTTTAATAAAAAGAAGACGTTGTAGGGCTAATTAAGGAAATATATAATTAATGAATATTTATCCCGTCAAATCCTAACTTTTTATACTAGATTTTAAACGCAATTAAAAAAGTATTTGAAATATCATAATTATCAAATCCCTTTTATAATTTTGTAGTTCCAAACAAGACAAATTCAATTTTCAAATTCAAATCCCATCAAATCCAGCATTCCAAACAGAGCATAAAAGTCTAATAAGAAGAAACATATGAATGGAAAGCGCATGGTAAAAAAAAAATAAATACGACTCGATAAGAGTTGGATCTTGAATTCATGATCCATATTCGATATACGGGGCAATCGGAGCAAAATGTCATTTCCCTGCCTCACTTATCTTCTTCCATCTGATACACTATATATATATATATATATATAAATGTAACCAAAGTCAACAATTCCAACTCATCACTTTCTATCTCCTTCATTTCCGTCAGACAAACACACCACATCAAAACCCACTTTCGCTGGAACCTTCCATCACCTTCCTTCCATTAATTTCTCTTTTTCTTTTCTCATCTTCACTCCACATCACCTAACAACATACATACAATATATATATTATATGTAACAAACTAAATTCTAACTACTTAAATACCATTCAAATGGGACCCATCATCATATCACCAATTTCACTTTCTTCTCTCTCTAATTTAAAAAAAAAAAAAAAAAAAAAAAAAAAAATCAATCTTAACAACTACAAATCATAAAATAAATTTAAATCCTAAAATTCAGGTCATCACAATCTCCACCACTTAAAAAGAATTTCGTCCCCAAAATTCAGATCCAATAGTCTTCGTATATTCAAAAACACCAATAACCACAAAATAAAATTCAAATCCTTACCCCAGGCAATGTGAGATACCGTGATATGTAGGACGTTGTGGTAGCTGCCAGTGCTAGTCACCCGCCCACACACTCTGTAACCGTTGTGGTAGCTAGTCAATGCGTCACCCGCCCATTAAAAAAACAACAAAAAACCCGAGCTACCTACCCAACCACACTAACCATCCCAGTAGGAAAAACCATAAGAAGAATTTCAATAATCAATGATCATACCGCAAACCCTTTATCAGACTATAACGACCCTAAACTAAATACCGAAAATAATAAAAAATTTAAAAAAAATTTCGGTATGACCTTCGCTAAAAATGGTCCTACAACAACCTATTCAAATGGAAAAAAAAACGACGACCTTTCAAGACCTATCCAACCTGCCCCAACACACAATACAAAAGAAATATAATGCATTCCCCAATACCACAACATCAACAACCTTCCCAAATTAGTTCATCAACGTCATCTTCTTCAACTTAAGCATTTACATGGTCTCAGTTTACAACAAAAACAATCAAGTATCTTAGTTATATTACAGGGCCATGATTTGCAAAAATAAATACTCTTTTACATAGTTGAGACAATACAAAAAAAATGGGCTAAGATACAAAAGATAACAAAATACAACTCCTAATCTTCTTCAAGCTTGCGGGGGATTGTCATCCGCCACTTCTTTTCCGAGTCCTAAAAAATGTTAAATAATTGGGGTGAGCAAAATTGTTCAGTAGGTAGTGCCTAAGGCACACCTCTTGAGACCCCGTGAATCCACACAATGAATAGGAATAAGGAAATTGGGATCATACCATACCGGGAGTAAAAGTATAACTACGATACCACACCATTAATCCAATACCACAAATAAATATGCCATGCAATGAGATGTCGTGCCATGCAATGTCACTCCCCATTTTTCCAAAACCATTTCCATTATCATTTCCAAACCGTTAGTGAACCTGTCCCATGGCAACTCTATGACGGCACAAGAGGAGGATTGGCCACTGTCCCTGACCCATGGCAACTCCATGGCGTCATTTGGGGCCCAGGTAACTCAACCACACTAGGGCGATCTCCCTAGTCCCCTCTAGGCCTCACTAACGCCGCGGTCCCTAGGTAACTCCTAGGCAGCCGAGTTTTTCATAAAATTCTTTCCTAAAAATATATATGTATATACTTTTATTTATTTATTTATTTTTTTTTTATCAAATTCATGTTCCCATCTCTTTCCCAATGAAGTACACAGATGCTTCATGGGTTTTTGGTCATAGCAACATTTATCATCACATGCCAATTTTAAGATTTAATTACTTAGCATGCTTCACAAGAAGTTTCAAAAAAAATTAACATACTTCCTTCAACAAAATTCTAGCATGGTAAGCAAGTAAGACATGGAATTAAATTCATAAAAACATATATTTCGTGTAACACCAATTAAAACACATAGACACATATCTCATTACAACAATATGATCATTTCAAGGAAAAACTAACACAATTTAACATGCTTGACAACAAATCAAATAAGATGATTCACAAAGGAGCAAGAAAAAGGTGAATTAGGAACCCCTACCTCTATTTTATGCAAAACCCCCAATTTTCACCTTAAACCCTCAAAATGGGTCACAATTTTCGGACTCCCTAAAGTAGCCAAAAACTGAAATTGTTGGTATGGATTTGAAGATATCGTCGTGGGCTTCAATTTGCCGCAAATGGCATCCAAAATTTCCAACAAATGAGAGAATAATCAAGAGTTGAAATTGTAAAAGAAAAGAAAAAGAAACCAAAGCAGCGAATGAGAGAACACTGGCCGAGAGAGAGAGAACGCTGATTGGAAAACAAAAAAATGTGTCTGTATAACCCTTTCTCACATGTGGTAGTAAATAATAGGAGTGGGTCCCACCAATTTTGCAAAATGTTTTATTCAATTAACATTATATATATATAAGACATGTCATAAATATTACATTCTCCCCAACTTTAAAAGGATTTCGTCCCCAAAATCAAGACACACCTGAAGAAGAAAATAACGCTGGGTACTTAGA